AGGAGAGAAGGAAGAGGGAGGAAAGGCGGAGCCTTTCTCCCTGATACCTGAATGGCCGCGCTGTACCGGCTGATGTCCGCTGAGGCAGAGCCTGGCGGTGCAGCTATGGCGCTGGGCTGCAGACTGAGCCAGAGGGCCGGCGCTACTCGCTGCTGCTGCGCTAATCCTTCTCTCTGCTGCGCTAATTCTCCCCGCTGCTCCGCTACGCCAACCGAAATGCGGTGCTAACCTGTAGACTAACCTCCCTACTGAGGCTGGTACCCAGCTGATATAGCGCTGGGCCAGCCTCTCTGATGCTGGTACCTTCGGGTCTGGACCATTGATCCGATCAACGGTTCAGATCTGAATCTGAAAGTGAAAATGGCGCCTAAACTGCCCCGCCGGCCGGTCCTACCGATGGACCGGTACCGGCCTAACGAAACTAGCCGTTGGGTCTGGTGGGGTCTAAACTAGGCCTACTGGGCTCTAATCTGAAACAACGGTTCCTAGGCCTACCTGGACCTAGCTGGGACTGCCGTGACCCGGTACCTAGGCCTACCCGTGCCTACTACAGAACCGGGCCCTAACTGGGGCCCGTGTGGTATCAGTATGCCACACTATGTGTTGCGTCACTGCTTTCCTTTCTCGCCTTTTCTCTGGTCATTTCTTACCTGCTTCTTCTTGTGTTAAAAGAAAAAAAAAAGAATTAGCTGTTAGCCCTGGACCCACACATATCCGCGTCAAGCAGCACTTCTTACCTTCTTGTGCGAGTCCGATATTTCGTGTCTTGAACATGACGTGTTGTCAAGCACAACTGCATGGCGTAACTTACACACACACACACACACACACACACACACACACACACACATGCGCACACACACACACACGCACGCAGCCAACGCCAGTGCCAGGGTCTTTCCACCCTCCCCCAAAGAATGAAACAGAGAAAGAGGGCAACACGTTGGCCGACAGGCAGCATGTTGGCGAGCAGGGTGTTTCGAAAGAGGTTACGGTGGCAACCCCGTCCATGGCCCCTGGACGGACAAAATAACAAAGCTTCCTTGACTGAAGAGGCTGCAGGGACACAGCCAGGGGATACCTCAGTGACAACATAGAGATGGCACAAGTGACAAGAAGCACTCGTGGGTTGGAAAGGGAACGGAGATGGGTGGAATTAAAGACAGGGTGGACTGGAGAGCGGAGGGGGATGGGCAGAGTGAAAGACAAGGTTGGGGCCTACATACGCACATACGTTGATGACAAAACAATTTGGCCAGCATAAGTACTTTCAAGGAAGAAGGAGACAAAGAGAGAAGAGAGCTGCACAAAAGGCTGCAAAAAAAACTTCCCATTATGTGAATCGACGACCGATTCAGCACTCTTGGTGCGAAAAAGAGACCGATTCAGCACTCTTGGTGCGAAAAAGAGACCTGTTCTGCAGCACGGATACGTCTGCTGGCATCCATAAATGCAAAACGATGCCATTCGTTGTCAATAGAAAGAAGTGTCCGAGTTTATGTCATACATATGCCAAAAAAAAGCAAAAAAAAACGCAAAAAAAAAAGGAAAAGTGAAGGAAATGTCTGACAGAGAGTCCCGTAGAGAAGTTACAAAAACGTTCCCAAGAGTTCTAGCAAGTTGTCGGAGCCGTACGTACACGGAGCCCTGTGACGAAAAAATCGGAAAAATTATTGAACAAAACGCACCTACGCCCCAACCCCCCCCCCACCACCACCACCACCAGCACACACACGCATGAGCCAGCGCATATATTAAGCTGTTTAAATTATTACACCCTCCACCGCAAAACAGAAATCCTAACAGGCATTCCATCATGCCACAGTATTAAAAATTGGGGGAAAAAAAAAAAAATCAAAATTGGGAATTTGGCCAGTGGAGATGTGCTGCCGAAGACCAAAGTGAGCACAAACGGGAGTTCGGACGACAAGCTAACTGCGTCTAAATTTCTCTAAAAACGTTTTTGAAAACACAAAGCGATTTAACTTTTAAGCGAAAGCAAACAAGAACCAGCTGCACCTGACCCTCCTGACATGAAAATTCTTAATCTGTATATTAAAAAAAAAAGTAAAAATGTTTTGACTATGTGGAAAGTGACGGAGGAGGTGCAAGGGGATAAGAGAGGGAAACAAACGAGTGAATGCACAGCATCCCAGTACAAAGACAGTCCTCAAAACACCGCGCACGTTGGAATTTATGGTAGGGATGGAAAGGGGGGGGAAGGACGGGGTCCAAGGAAAAGAGGGAGGGAGAGTTACACAACCCTTGAAACATGATCTGTGTGGTACTACCTGAGGATACCGGAACCAGGGGAAAAAAAAAAAAAAAAAAAAAAAAAAAAACCAACAACAACAAGACAGCTAGGGAGATATCCTGGGCGCCCAGGTCCCGACGTCACGCCCGGTTTGGCGCCCGGGTGACCGGCCGGGCATGACCCCCTTTGGCCATTTGAGTGAATGAAAGAGAAGCCGGAGAGAAAAAGTGGACCTGTGAACGCAAAGCCTGCAAAGGTGGCTTTAAAATAAGAAGAACAGCTAGGGAGATATCCTGGGCGCCCAGGTCCCGACGTCACGCCCGGTTTGGCGCCCGGGTGACCGGCCGGGCATGACGCCCCCGGGCATGGGTCCGGGAAGCCCCAGCACAAAAAAAAAAAAAAAAAAAAAAAAAACTGAAAAAAAAAATGGTGTGGAATTGCAATTAAAACAACTTTTGGCTGAGGGGAACGTAAAAATTCCTCACGGAACTGAAGATAAAGAAAAAGAAAATAGCCAAATCACACTAAGGCACCCCCCTTTAAAGTTTAAACCCCTTTCGCCCCTTTAAAATTCATGTATACTACCCCCTTGACAGCCAACACCCAAAAAAAAGAAAAGAGCCCGGATTTGGGCTCCTCTCGGAGAGCGCGGAAAAYCCTCACCGCCATTTTTTTTTTCCCCCCCCCCATGCCCGGGTATCCCGGACATCAGACCCCCCCCCCGGGCAACACGCCCGGGTGACCAGTCGGCCGGTCATGGAAATCTTCCTAGAAGGACAGCGCATTTAGTGTGCCTCAGAGTCAGAAAGAGAACTGAAGCAACGAACGAGACGGAACTGAATCTGGAAACCTTAAAAAAAAATGAACAGTAGTTTGAGGGGGGAAAGAAAGAAACAGGGACCCTCTATATCCGCCTACGTGGAGGTTGTCGCCGTCAGTGAGAGAGAAATAAACTTAAGACAGCAAGCTTGGCAAATAATAAACGGGAAAATCGTGCAGGCGAGACCTCAAAAGCAAACAGTATTTTGAGATGACTCCGACGAGAAAACAGAGACCCTCTATATTCGCCTACGTGAAGGGAGGTTGTCGCCGTCAGGGAGAGAAAGACGTCCAAAAAAACCTTGGGTTACTTAGCAAAGATTAAACTGCAAACCCTGCAGGTGAGAGGGGGGGAAAGAGGAGGAACGATAACCCAGGGAATTCCACAACACAACTCATGGTTTAAAGCACATGGTTTAAAGCACATGGGGTAAAGCACATGGGGTAAAGCACATGGGGTAAAGCACATGGGGTAAAGCACAGCCTATTTGAGTGAAATGTGTGGGTGTGGGTGGGCTGATGAAGTGCCAGAACTCAGACAAGTAGAATACTGGCTGAAGCCACTGAACAGTTGCGAGGAGAACACATCGCACAAGCCTGTATGAGTACGAGCACACATTTGCTCGTCTTTTACTCACTGAAATGAG